AGGGGCGGCCCAGTGAGGGGCGGCCCAGTGAGGGGCGGCCCAGTGAGGGGCGGCTCACTCGCTAATGGGACGGTTGACTCACCAACTGGGCAGCTCACTGACTGACAGGAAGGCCCGACAGGTCTCGCCTCTATTTCTGGAAGCTCCTCTCCTTGCTCTCCTCCCCCCCGGCAACTGAATCCCCTCATACGTTCCCACCCCAAGGTCAGATATCTCCCAGAATCCTTGTGTCCCCCACCAGGTGAGGAGGCAGAAACGCACACTGTCTCACCTCAGAGAGGTAGCGGGGAAGGTGCTCCCCTCTGTGATAATGCCGCAACTTCATCAATGTCAGGAGAAAAAGGGCTTCTTGGGTGTAAACAGGAGAGAGAAACGCAGTGAGCGAGCTGGAGCATGATTGTGGAAGGAAACCTGAATGCTGTCCACTGAGTGGCCATCTCACATACCCATGATGCACTAGGAGAAATTTGTCAGAGCAAGACGCGGGCCGATACGGCGCCACCTGCAGCTTGGAGGCCACCTGGTCAGCTGGAGCAAACCTTGTTGCTGGAATCCACAAAAACAATGCCGTTGTATATAGAGGACGCTGGTGGGGGAGGGGGCTTTAGCGTCAAACTGAGTCCGTGTCCATAATAAGTGGAGCAGGGTGGTGTTGTGCTGACACGGTGGGTTTCCCCAGTGCCCCCTCCAATGTGAAAAAGCACTCCCTGTTTACAAATCAAATGCAAATCAGAAACAGGCATGCAGACACAAATAATGGTGGCAGGGGGGCACCAGCTCACATAGAGTTTATAAAGTCGACATTCATGCTGATGCAAGGCTGAAATATTCCTCCCTTACACTGATTACTCCAATGCCTTTTCTATATGCGCGTTCCAGAGCCTTCTGTCTGTCGTAACCGAGGAACCGCACTGGCAGGGTAGGGGGGGGGGGGTCACGTTTCTCCAGTCCGGATGCAACTTGGGTGACGTGACAGGGCCCCAGTGGTCAGACGGGAAATTAAAAACTGTTAAAAGACGAGTCCACAGCCCCAGAGCGAGTATGGGCCTTAACAGGCAATGGCAGCACGCACTGTCCGCAGTGTCAGGGCACTGGAAATCTGCCCACTGCCTCACCATCATCATATCAGATTTAACGAGGCTCTCTACTCCCCCAGCGGTTAAAAGCACCGCCTGCCTGCAGTCGTACGCCACCCCACACCGCCCCCACCAGGTGAGGATAAGGGCCTTGCTCAGGTGCCTATTACTGAAACCACACTGCCGACCCTGGGATTTGAACTGGCGACCTTCAGACAGAGCGGCATAACCTCCTTCAGCGCATGTGGCCGGGCTGCATACACGTGACGTCATGCCGTCGGACCCCCGTGGCACCTCCACCCTACGGCTATGGTGGCAAGCGAGAAATGACACTTCGGGGACTGGTTAACCATTTACACAGTTACGCGGTGGATGCGGGTTCATACGTGGGTCTGGTCATGAGCAGATTCCCTCCCGCTGATCTGCGTGCCGTAACAGTGGGGATCCCAGCGCCTGGCGCTTTCACGCACCCATGCTGCGATTTCTCATTCACTATGGACACCATGACTTTGCCCCACTCTTATAAATGTCAGCGTTCAGACGGTCTGTAATGGGAGCCTGCTACGCAGCCCATTAGCTGATTACAGTGTGGAGCTTCTGCTCTGAAGCATTAAAAGACACATGGAGCCCTCGTCAGCCTGAAGGGTGATGTCCAATAACACCAGCTTTTTTTAAAGCAGCCGGCTAGACAAGGACAAGACTGGAATGCAATTCGGCGTTATAGCACATTCAAATGTACTGTGCCAGATTTAAAGCTCAACAGTGCCTCACCCTGGTGCACCATTCCATTACATGATCATGATCATCCATTACAGCATAAACATTTACATTTGACTTAATTAGCAGACGCTTTTACCCAAAGCAACGTATATTTTTAAGAAAGCAGGGTCAGCCAGTGCCTAGAGTGATTAGGGTTAAGGTGAAACCATTCTGGCGACCCTGGGATTTGAACCAGCGACCGACTGATCATGAGCACATGCTACAGCTATGTTAGAGATACTCGTCCTGTCCTTAGGAGGCAAAGACACTGAGATCATAGAAGAACATGCAACGAGGAGCATCAAAAGCAACAACGGGCATTGAAGGAGATGTGATCCCACAATGCGTTGACCGATTCTCTGCACCACCCCACAATGTTGAAATTTATCTCAGAAACATACAGGTGCACATGCCTCAGGCACACAGCAACTGGAGAGTTAATGCCACCCAGGCAATGGGGACACAAACGATTGGCTGTGATGAAATCAGCCCTCATTATGTCCAAACTGCCCCATCACTGTGACGTGCGGAAATCTACACCCAAAATATCTCCTGAGGACTCAGGAACCCCTTCTCTGCTTATATCCTGGCACTGCACCCCAATCCGGTCCCCCAACCACCAGCATATGTCAGAGTTCCCAGTGACTCAATCCTGCCACCTGCTGAGCGTTCAGAAAAGTGAACACACTGTGAAAATGGCAGCTTTAGCCACTCCCCTTCCGCGTTAGCAGCATCCCACCTGCGACTGCTCTTCTTCCCGCGCTCCTCCTCGCCAGGTTCAGCCTTCGGCACTTCTTCCCTGGGCCTCTTGTGGCCGCTTTGCCCCGCCTCCTCGCTTTCGTCATCCTCCTCGTCGTCACTTCCCTTCACGGAATGTGAGCAGTGTCAGAACAAGGACCGCTGAAGTCGACCCGAGGCCATTAGCGAAGCTAATCAATATCGCTATAAATAGAAGTATTAATCTGCACACATATAACGCATCCAGAGCCCATCTCCCACCTGCTTATTCCGACCAGCTGCATTTTTGGATTCATCCCTGAAGAGAAATTCAAAGGAATATTAGCCTGACGCTTCAAAAATTTAAACAACAGTTTGCATAGTGCTAACATTTGCTATGAACGACAGTCTTGGGAGCTTTAGCACAGGTTAACACATCATGAGCCATGTTATAAGGCATTCAGATCTCTTCAGAACCAGGCCCAGGGACCCAGTGTCACCAGAATGTGCCGAATCCTAGCCCTGCAGTAGACCACGGATGAGAGAACGCGTGGCAAAATGGGGCTCAGTCCTACCGCTCGACCGCTGGCACGGCACTGAGGCGTGGGTCATCCTTCAGTAGGTCGTGGCTGCTCTTGCTTCTCCCTTTCATGGTCTGTGAGGGAGAGCAAAGGCGAGGTTTTTATTTCGGCATGAACTGACTGCCGGGGGCCAAGATCTCAAACGCACCCTCAAGAATGAAACCCCAGCCATATTGCGGAATGTTCTGGTACTCTCACATGCACATCTTATATCATCCTGACCTCCAAAAACTGCTTAACGCAAATACTGAAAACATAGTTACTGATATTATGTGTTTTTATTTGTATTAACTCACATTATGGTTATTTATTTTAATAATCTTATTTGTCCTTTTATATACTCTTCTTCATATTACATAAAAAAAAATTAAGTTGATTCATCTTACTTAGTTAAACGTTCAATAAGCACAGCTGTTTTACCATCTAACATGTTCTAATCTTGGGGACAAGTCCAGTCTTCAGTACAGCTGATTAATGATACCTCACCTCCCCCTCAGCACCACTGTGGCGCCCTCACCTGGCTGACTTCAGTACAGCTGATTAATGATACCTCGAGCCCCTCTGAGCACCACTGTGGCGCCCTCACCTGGCTGACTTCAGTACAGCTGATTAATGATACCTCGAGCCCCTCTGAGCACCACTGTGGCACCCTCACCTGGCTGACTTTATTCACTAGCTCCTCGTCCTCTTCTGCTTCCTCTCCAAAAGACAGCAGGCTGAAATTCCTGTTGGGACAAAAGCGCATTCTTACTCTCACACAGCAGCCCCCGCCAGGGCCACGAGGTCTGGGACCCCGGTTGAAGTCAGACAATGAGCTCAACACCTTAAGCAGACCCCCTGATTTTCCAGATCCAGACCAAGCCCCCCACTTCTCTTCCCAGAGATTCTCGCTCTCCTGGGACGACCTGGGTTCTTACACACACTCACTTGGTCGCTTTGGACTGGGACTTCTTTGAGTCATCCTTGTCCTTCTCCTTTTTTGCCTTTCTGGTTTCCCTCGGCACGATGTCATCAAAGGGGCAGTGCAGGACCTGCACGGGTGCATTCACACACACCGACGCGTCACAGTGTCACATACAGGCGTGTTCGCATTCACATCCCTAATCGAGGCCGGCGGACATGTTCTCCATGCAGTGCTGGGAGACGCACCTCGGTGGAGCGTATCTTGTGCGGGTTCAGGGGTCTTTCATCCCGGTCACAATCGACTTCTGCCAGCCTCAATATGTTGTACACGGTATCGCCGGTCACCTGTGGGGAAAGAAGGGATTCGAACACGGTTGACTTGACCAGATATGGTAGTGGATGGTGCAGTTAGCATGACGCTAACATTCTTAGCACATCATAAAAGGTGAACCAAGCACTGATAATTCAGGAAAGTGACCATGGGGGAATCCTGCATCCTCGGACCAGAAGGGAGCTGTGGTTACGATGCCCGCTGTGCCACAAAGCACATCAATCATCGCCCTACTGAGGATGAGCCTACGAGACTATGAGTGGAGTCAGACCAAAGACAGCAAGAAGCAGACGTCTGACTTGATTCACATTTGGTGGGTGTCTTCACCTATCCTTTGCTTCCCCAAAGTTTGAGGGCCCCCAGTAGGCCGGCCACAAACAGTCACTACAAATCAGGGATCGAGGGGGGGGACCAAAGTGACTTTTTGACTGGGGCCCCAGAAACTGCTTGTTTTAACTATTTAAAACTGTTTAAAAGGTTTAACTAATTACAGTTAAAGCTCATTATGTATACAGAGTTAAAACTAAGAGGCACTGAATATTTTCCTTTATACACACAGTGGCATTATGCATCTGTGTGCAGTATACCTTACAATACAAACATAATCAGACACATACAGACGTGACGTAAATATATAAACATCTTTATGCAAGCTAATGTATAAATTTCAGTTCCAAAAATCCCAGTGAAATGAGATGTGAGCCTAAAGTTGCCAGAAGCCCCCTCCCCTCCCCACCCCCAAAGGCGGCATGTGGCTGATTAGGTCCCATTCTACCTTCCCGAAGATGGTGTGCTTGTTATTGAGCTCGTCGGCGCGACCCAGAGTGAAGAAGAACTGGCTGCCATTATCATGGGGGCCTGCGTTTGCCATGGCGACCAGGCCCCGTCGGTTAAAGCGCAACCTGGAATGGAACTCATCCTAAAGGGGGTGAGAGAGAGTGATGCAGCCTGAAGTGACAATACTACAAACCAGTGGCTCCTTCTCTGAATAATGTGTGCAACGCTTTTGGCCGATTCTGTGTTAAAAGCAGCTGGTCCATCCAAACCATCAGTATCATAACTGTAACATGAGGTCCCATACAGTAAGTGAAGAAAATCCATTTAAAAACTGATGAATTCAAACATTTTGCCCGTGCCTCACAAAGAGAAAGGGATGGGGCTGACTTGTAAATAAGCGATACACTCAAACCCTGATGATGATGATGATGCGCTCTCACCTTAAAAGAATGCCTACATACAGATTGTCCGCCAAACCCCAAGCCCGTGGGAACCTTTGATGATGATGATGACGAGCGCTCACCTTAAAAGGATGTCCGTACACAGACTCCCCACCAGACCCTGTGCCCGTGGGATCCCCCCCCTGTATGATGAAGTCCGGCACCACCCTGTGGAATATCGTCCCATCATAATAACCTATAATAATAACAACAACACAGACTATGAGAGGAATGACGTCACCACATGCCAACATGCAATTTAAATATTTTCTCATATTTTCTTATGGCTTTTATGGGGGCAGTGTGTGGCTCAGTGGGCTAAGCCGTGTGCCTGTAATCACAAGGTCGCTGGTTCAAGCCCAGCCTCAGCACGTCTGCGGGTCCTTGAGCAAGACCCTCAACCCTCAATCAATTATTATATACTTTTTACATACTTCTGTATTTTTTCTCATTTTGTTCATTTATGTCATTTTGGTTTTCTGCTACCTTGTTTATTGCACAGCCTGGAGTCACAGCAATTTCATTTCACTGATGGTGTACCAGTACATTCATGTATGTGACAAATAAAAATCTTGAATATTTAAAAAAATAAGCAAATGATCATCTCGCACACGATAGATGAAACATAACATTATCATATTTGTATGTGTTACACCAGTATGGATTTCAGACAGCAAAATGCTTTCCTTTGACATGGAGGAAATGCCTGAAGTAAATTGCAGAGCAAGAGAGTACCTAATTCTGCAAGAGACATACTGTATATGACATATACACACAATACATACAGTGCCAACAGAAAGTCTTGAGATGCTTGCTTAATTCCGTAAAAAAAATATTGCAAATTTATTGGTTTTATAATAAAAAAAACATTACTTCTTTCCTTACAAAAAATGTATACCATATTAGAAACAGCCAGTAGTGTTAAGTAAAACATTCATCTCCAAATATCATTAACAGGCATTGGGTGTTTCAAGTGCAATAAAAAACACCAATAATTTCTGTTTAGCATTCCTTTGGGAGCCAATGGCTACAACTGCAATTAATAGCCAAAATGTCAAAAATAGAACTGAATGAGTCAGTCAAAAAAATGTCACTTAATGAAAAAGAAATGTCTGTGAGGAAGCTGTGTTTGCTTGTCAACAGGCATTTGTTATGAAAGCAATAAATTTGAATAAAATTAATAAATTTAAATTTTTATAGAATTAAGCAAACGTCCCAAGCGTACACGCAATGGTCACTATATTAGGTACCCCTACATAGCATACAAGTTGTGCATTCAAGGAAGTCTTTATTCACAGCACCGTTGGTACTGAGCTGGTTCTTTTTGCCCTTGTGACTTTCTGATAAGCTTGAATGAGTCAGTAATTTTCCTCTTACCACTCACTGATATGGTGTTTTAGCAACAGAACTCATTGTTTTTGTGCATGTCGTTCTTCGTAAACCCTAGAGACGGTAGTGTGTGAAAATAACAGGAAGGTGAAAGTTTCCGAGATGCTGGAACCACCGTGTGCGGCACCAACGACCACACCACGTTCAAAAGCACTGAGGTCAGGCGTCTGAACCATTATCATGTAAGATGCGCAGACACTGAACCTCGTGACCCCGTCTACATGCTTTATGTATCCAGCTGCAGCCACATAATTCACTTATACAAGCAGGTGGATCTAAAAAGGTGGCCAGTCAGTGTACATACCGGGGTTGACAGCTTTGGGTAGCTGGCTGGAGTGAGATTTTCAATTCTATACGTCTACACATGCATGCGCAACGCATTTACATGTATGTAACAGTTTTATTACCATGTAAATAGTCTGAAGTGTTTGCAAACTGCCGCAAGGCTTTTGATGTAGCTAATTATAGGCTTATAATGGAATAACATACTGTAGATTTGCCGTAAGATTTCTTGCGTGGGTGTGAGAGTCTGAAAGCGTGAGTTGGCAATACTGATACACCCATGTATCTATGCAACTATCATACATGGCTGCCAAAGAAAAGGAACCATCTCCTGACATCTTAATCAGGCAACAATGTTTCGGTTTTTACTCGAATAATATCCACTGACCTACGTGGTTATATAATGTACCTAGAAAAGTGAACTGTTAAAATATTGTCTCGACCACCAGGTACAAGTACTATCCAAATAACATAAACAACGTTACCTTCCATGCAAAGCTGGACAAAATTCCTGCATGCCTTCGGTGCCTCTTTGGACCAGAGTTCCACATCTATATCGCCGGCTGTCGTCTTTATCAGAACCTGCGGTATCAATAAACAGCGTTAAAGGTTTTTCAAACTACAGTGCACTGTAAAACTTATTTCACTGCCGCACATTGTATCGCCTTTTCAGTTACCATTATGGCTATTAATAAACTATATCAATTCGCTGATAAAATATCTTACTTGAATAATTATCACTGTACTGATATGTAAAGATGCGCGTGTTTTACGTTAGATATACATTTACTATAAATGCTGGAAAATGCAAGCCGCCTACCTTGCCATTTGTGGGTGGCTCCTGAATGTATATGTTACTCATGACTACGTCTAACTACCACTACCTTCCTAGAAACGTAAACAAAGCAACGCATAAATATATTAAATTTGCAGCTATTAATGAACGCTTCAAATCTATGCTACGCTCCTTCACTAAACGAATTTCCTAAAAAAACAGAGGTATTTGATTATAGGAATAAAACCGCCATCTTGTAGCAATACCAAGGTGTAAAATGTGAAACTATGGTAGAGGGGAGGCTTAAAACAGTAAAACTTTCTTTATCCTTCTGAGTCTTCAGGCAGACTAAATGTATACATATCTAATATTAAATAGTTAATTGTATCTAATGCTTTTAATTATTAACTATTTCTCATCAAACTAGAAAAATATGAATGAGTAATTAATTTCACGTACCCCCCTCTAAAAATATACTACTTGGTTTATCTTGTTTTCATGGTGTTACATTTTATGTTATCCCTGAAAACCAAGGTCGGCAAGTGTAAAAATTATAATAAATTTGTAGACTTGGAGATGAACTTCAGACAGATATTTACGTATCTACATAAACTATCGGAGATATACATAAAAAATATTACTAATTGAAATATTTTAAATATGTATATAATAATATATGATAACCATTATCACAATAATTTTAATTTATTTTTCTTATAAAGAAGCTTCACCTTTACAAATGTAACAAATGAATGCATGAATAATTACACATAATTACAATTAACTGTTAATTATTTTACAACTGAAGCTCCACGTTAATGGTAAAAGTAAAATTAAGACGTACCGTTTTATAAAAATGAACGGATTTTTCTCATTCTATGAATGCTTTTTAAGTAACAAAGACAACGGACTTAGAAAGGTTAAATCTCTCAAGTGTGCACGTCTTGAAATAACTTTTTTTTTATTCATACAAAAGTAAAATGCAGGAGATCACTGCCAGCCGTGAAACGGGTCGACTATGTGAATTGTTGTTTGTTTCCCATCGGTCCATATTTACTGACGAGCTCTCAGGAAGTTTTGAAAGTAAGCAGCAATTCTGTATCGCTATGGCTTTGCCAGGTATAATATTCTACAATATCACGTTGTTTTAAACATATGGTCATTCAGAGAAGTAGCTACATATGATAGAAATATTAAATTTCTCAATAGTTCGACTGTTGAGTAATAGCGTGTGGAATTGAATTAGCAACGGTGCAGTTCTAGAATTTTCTGTACTGTACTAGGTAACTTATTTCTTTATACTAGTACGTTCATTAGTTCGCAGCTTAGATTTCTTAATTATTTTTTATTTTACGGTTCTGCCGACAGTATGCACGTGGCGTTCGCTTTTGAAAGCAGTTCGTTGGCTACATGAAACTGTGCCGTTAAGCATCATAATATGATGTTCTTAAATTGATCGTATTTTAAGTGTTTTTTCCACGTATTTGAAGATATTTTCTTATATAACTAACCATAAACTTCAAATGTGACTGACCACCCATTTATTCATCGATCTTCTAATCGCTTATATAGTGCATAGCTTGTTTTATCCCTTAAGTAGATTGATCGCCTCTCTTTCCATTGTAGGGCCCAATAAGGACAACATCAGAGCAGGATGCAAGAAGTGTGGTTATCGTAAGAAATCCCGTTTATATTCTTCATCTTTAAATGATAACTGCAATTACATCTTTTTGAAACGCATTAAAGGTCATGTGTATTAATCACAGCTCGTGTGTGTGTCTTGGTACTACTTTAGTGTGTGCTCTACCAGACTTCCTGCTGTATCCCTTGGTGGCACATAAATAAATATGTTCCAGTGACACATGCATTTTATCGTGTTGCATTTCAGTCACTTTATTCTTTAACTTTAAAATAAATGAAGGAGACATTGAGAATAGAGGAGAGGCTGAGGCCGCTTTGTTATTATGCTGACATTTCTACTGAGCCAGTAGAGTCCATGTTAAAGTGCCACCTTATTTTTCCAGCTGGACATTTGACCTTCGAGTGTCGGAACTTTGTCAGGGTCGATCCCAGGAAGGACATCGTCCTCGACGTGAGTAGCACAAGCTCTGAGGAGAGTGAAGATGAAGAGCAGAACGATGGGACACCAGGTGGCCCAAACACCAAGGGTAAGTTAGGATGGGGAAGTTTCTCAGTTAAACATCATGTAACTTCAAAGCGAATTCATCTGTGCATTTTTCAATTTTTATGAACATTTTGAAGGGAACAGTACTGTAAACAGGGTGTCACAATGGCTCATTTGGCAGTACAGTTTCCTCACACATCCAGAGTTGTGGGTTTGAATCCTGCATTGTGTCCCTGTGATACACGATTTTGCTCTGGGCACTCGCACAGTCCAAAGATATACAGTTAAGCTAACTGGTATCTTTAAAATGTGCGTAGTGTGTGATGGTGTTTATGTAGATGCCTTTTGATGAGCTGGCATCCTGTCCTGGAGGGTATTCCACAAAGTAGGATATGTTGCTTAGCCGGATAACTTGTTGGATTTAAGGTAGTCTGAGCTAAATGTAAGTGAACGAAGATGAAGTTAATTTAGCCCAGACTACCTTACATCTAACAAGCTATCCGGCTAAGCAAGAAATCCTGCATCATGGAACACCCCCCTGGGGGCATTCCTGCCTTGTGTTGCCTGGGATAGGCTCCAGGCCCCCACCATGACCCTGTTCAGGATAAGTGATTGCAAGATGGATGGATTGCTGCAAAGAGAGTCAAAGTATCTGCTTTTTAGTTTTGTTGTAGTTTTAAATATGTTTTCTAGCAGAGTAATGCTTTAATTGGTATTGTTTGGTGGTACTATGTTCACAACTGCTTTCTGCATTTGTGCCAAATAATGTAACAGTGTATGTGAGTTCAAGCTGTCTTTTCCAGCACCCAATGTGACCTCAATATGACTTCATGGAGTACTGCTGAAGACGTGTAATTGGTGTGGAGTGGATTTTGGAGTTACAGTGATCCAAAATTCACAATTTCAGGTTCCCAAAGCGAGGCAAGGAAAGTCCAACAGAAAAGGAAATCGAGGGACAAATCCCACAAGAAGTTAAAAAAGAGGTAATCTGAGTCAGCCGTCACGGTTTTCCGGAAAATGCCGCCAGTGGATTTATGTGGATGGATCTAACACATACGCTAGTTCTCTCTGGTGTGTCTGTGTCCGTGTGTGTGTCCGTGTCTGTCTGTGTGTGTGTGTGTGTGTGTGTGTGTGTCTGTCTATCTGCATGAGTGTGTCTAGGTGGGATTGTGCTCCCCAAGGCTCCTGTGGTCTGTGTCCGTTCTGACCCAGCTGCATAAAGGCTCCTTATGAATTTGGCCAGAGACCATTGCCTTAAATGGCAGAATGCTGGTTCCTGGATTCTGGGTACCTGAGTGTGACATAACATAGAAAACTCCAGTAACACCACACTTATTGTATATTTTAATACAGTTAAAGGTTTTTCTTGTCGTGTATCAAGTACTGTGTAATACATGTTTGCTTCCTCCTTAATATAAAAGACATTAATGAAGCACCACTTACTGATGCAGCTTTGTCTGTGCTTCTGTAAGCTGATGGGGGTGATGATTGGTGGAAGACTCTTATTTTTTTAGTTTTCTGACATCAATTAGAGTGACTGTAACAAACGATTTGCCATTTTTGGTTTCATGCATGTTTTTCCCCTAAATATTTAGTTTAAAAAATCCTGAGAGACTTTCAGTGTGCTCAGGTAACATACACTATTGCTGTGATTTGACCTTGGATTGGCTGTTACCACTGGGCCACTAAGAGCTTTTTTGAGGGGGGCTTTTAGTGCCATGCAATAACAAGGGCTGACTCATCGGTAGCTTTTTCCAAACATCTGTGACCTCAAGGCCTTCGTGTTCCTTTTCATCTTCAGTCTAAATTGTATGTGGGTTTTTTTTCTGTTTCCTGTATGTATTCCTGCCATAAAGGTCCAGTGTATTTGTTGCCTGTTCTGCAGGATCATTGATGCCTGGAAAGATGGCAGAGTTAGGCATTTGCCCCTTAAGATGACAAAATGTGCTTGCAGGAAAGTCCCCAACCTGTTTTCCCCATTTTTTCCTCCCTATATAACTGGCTAAACCACCCAGCAGCAGGTGAATGATAAGTGTACAAATAAATGCAGTGCACTAAGGCACTGAAAGCACCTTAAAAGAAAACTATAATAATATTGTAGTTGTATATTAGCACTTAACCAGACAAATAAGATGAGGAGCTGATCACATAATCTCGGTAGGGCAAAGTCTGTGTGTTATTGAGCTGTGGCTTTAGTATGTCATTTGGTTGCTGTTTATAATTAGATCTGAGGTCACAGCATTAAATATTTTCCCTGGAGAGAAACCATTTTAGTTCTAATGCATTTTGGAGGATGATGTCCTGCACATTGAATAGTGCCATATACTGGTTTTCCAGTGCTCATCCTGAGAATCAAACAGTTGGTACATCTGTCATGCCAGCCAGCTATCAGTAACACATTTTAAATGTGTTTTGTGGCTACTTTGGATTTTTATAGTTCACTCACAGTCTGACCGTATAAATCTTTTTTCATAATGCACTTGTGTAGGTCTACCAGTTTATACAATAATGTTTTTGAGCCTTAATTAAGTTGCAAAAAAGTAAATCCTACACTACAGGTAAGTTCTCGGCCCTGTTGGAAAGGTCGTTTGCAGTTGTAGATTCCTGGATTCAGATAACATCTGAAGCCTTGTCCGGTCGGACGCTGCCGCCATCACTCTGAGCCTGTCGCCGGTCCCCTTTTCAGATCACGGTCCTCGAGTGACGAAGACGAGGAGGAAAAGAAGAAGAGAAAGAAGCACAAGTCCCACAAGAAGAAGGGCAAACGGGAGAAGAAGGAGAAGCGGCAGAAGAAGAAGCAGAAGAAACAGAGCGGATGCTCGTCGCCATCAGAAAGTTCTGGGGACTCTGGGGACAGTGACTGAAGGCGGGTGGTCCGGTTTGCCCCTTCGGCAGCCAAGCTCTGCCATTTTAAATCGCATACTGTTAAATCGCCTGAGAGTCATGTTTTCAGGTTTTATCATGTTTGATTGAGCCACAGTGGTGGGGAGAAATGTGGGTTTTTGTGCTTTTGTTTGATATACGCAGCATTCCCTTTTCCTGATATCACAGGCCTGCTATACAGACACTGTGAATTATTGATAACAGTGGAGTATGACTGTCGTGCTGTACGTTTAAAATATGAAGCACTGTTTTCTGCAAACTGTGCCGACCGTCTGAAGATATTTTTCCATCTTAATTATTTGCTTAGTAGATTTTATGCGTTGCGCTTACTGTTAGGTTTATTTTTCTAGTTTGTGTGTCATGTAATGAATTCATTCCTGAGGGTTCAATCCTCTGACGTAATTTTTTTCTTCTCAGGTTTGGTTAATTTCCAAGGTGTGTGAACAGCGCATTGGGAGATTTTTACACTCGAGACATCTATTTCAAATTCAGTGCAACTTTTTCCTTACTGTTGATGGTTTCGATCTAAATAAAGATACTTCGAATCCCACCAGACCAATCATTTACATCATCATCAACAATAAAAAACCCATAAAAATGTTATATTTTTATTTTAAAAACCCAAAAACACTGCAGGTGTAGCAAACCCATGTTGAATACCAGGTGAGTAACAAAATAACTTCCATTGATGCCAGATACACAGATTCTGGAGGGATGCTTTTCAATGTTGAGATTTCTCTGGATATCAATGTCAGATCTTCATCTCTTTTTTGATGGTGAAAAGGGGCACTGGATATCAGTATTGATTTATCGCTGAGCATGTATCAATTCAATGTTGAATTTATTCAGCAATATCAATGTTGCCTCAGTATCTCATTTTTAGTGTTGGAAAAACACATACGTCAACGATGAATCAATGTTGTTTTACAATCAGATTGCCAATGTTGAAAATCTAACTAAAAATCGATTTATGTTTGACCATAAATCAATGCACTTCACTATATTCCAATCAATCCCATCTTGCTCTCTGGGTCTTGATGAGAAAAAAAAATGTTACTGGGTGAGGTGGGCCCATGTGCTTTTTTGTGTGGTTTCTGTTTAAATGCGTTAGTTATGTATTGAAATTGCTTTTAGAAAACTAGCAGTTATAATAGAAAATGATAGGAATTTAAATTCCTCATAGTGAATAGTTTTCATTTATTCTTATGTTCATAACAGTAGATCAGTTGTGATCAGATGGATTCTGGGAAATATATAATTATCACAATAACAGCTTGTCGTATAGTAAGATATTTTATATAGTTTATTAAAGCATTACAACACAGTCAGCCACTTTGTAGATATATGATAATTCAGGTTGGTTTTCCTTTGCAGAAATTTGTAACGTTTCCATCCATCTTCTAACCGCTTGTCCTGGTCATGGTCATGAGATCGTAACATTACATTTACAACTAGAATCCCTTATATCATTGTTACTTTTATTGACCCCATGGAGGTGGATTTGTCATCTTTAAATATGATCACCCTCTTGGCTGAAGGCCCTTGCTCCTCCGTATGTGTCTGACCTGTGGCCTCGTTCTTCATCAGGCTTCCTTTGGAAGCTATGCCAGAAGAGAGAGTCTTTGGGTGAGCTACTGCATGCCCATTGCTGGGTGCACCCAGGAACAATCCAGAGACGGTACAGGAGTATATACAGTGAAACTGTGTTTTCATTTTCTTAATAGTAATGATGCATTTGATTTCTGTAGCATATTTACAGGAATCTCTACAGTTGAATAGCTTACTTAAAATGATAAGCATGACACGATTATGGGTTTGTTGCATGGCCAGTGCAGGATGAAGCAGTTCTAATATAGGAACTGTACTGGAAAATATAAATGAAATGTGGGTGCATTTAGAATTTAGGGTCGTTTGTTTGTTTGTACTGACAGTCGTCTTCCTTTGTTGTGAACCTTTTGGTTCAATTTTACTTTGCATGTATTAGATGCTTCTGTCCAAAAAAATTGGACAAAATTTTTTTGTTAGGAAAAATTGGGGTCAGAGAGCAGGGTCAGTCAGCATCTAGCATCCCTGGAGCAGTTAACAGCCTGGCTCAAGGATGGATGGATGGATTCATTTATCCATTCGTTATTGATCCCGAAGGAACTTTAGGCATCAAGTAGTTCAAATACAAGCATAAGATTAACAAAATAATAGAATAATAGTCAGGACTGCAGAGGTAGGGAGTGCATCCATGGATGCTGTGGAAATTATCGATACCTTGAAAAGTTGTTCAGTGCAAGGGCCCAGTGTTGATATGATTACACCACTCACCATGGGATTCAAACCCACAACCTTCCAGACCCAGGCATACATCCCTACCCTGCTGAGGAATACACCATTGTATAGCCTGATGGATAGAAATGAGTGCTCACCCAGCCTTCCGGAGCTTTCCAAGTGGCATGATTTCAGCCCTGAGTGCGATGGGAGGGGCTTAGCATGAAGGAAGAGGAAACAGAGTCTACAAACACTGAGGACGAAAGCCAGGAGGACCAATGCCGCCACAGCCAATGCCGCAAGAGCCCCGACGCTGAAACAGAAGCATCAGATTATGGGGTAGGCATCAAAGATTTAGCCGGATCTCTGCCTAATCTGTGTTATTTTAGGCCTGGTATAAAAGCCATTGTGAAAATAGAAGCAATAATCATTCCTCATTAATCACAATAATAACTGACAGTTAAATATTCTTTAACCGCATATGAAGTCCTTAATAATATAGTGACAACCAAACAGGTTAATCAATGATTTCAGATTAATCAGGTTTAAAATTTGTCATAACTGTAAGTGCTGTAATTTAACATGATTTGTGTCACGCCCGGCTCGTCCGATCCTCGTGTGTGCCACGCCCCCCTCGTTACCTTGTGTTACTTCCTGATTGTGATCACCTGTTGCTTGTTCAGTTCAGCCTGTCTTGAGTATTTAGTCCGTGTTTCAGTCAGTATTCCCCAGTTCTGTCATTGTATTGTCATGTTTGATGTTCGATGTCTGCCCGGATCCCTTAATAAACCCCGTTTGTGCGTATTACCGGCTCTACTCGCCTGCTTCCCCACTCGCCTGCCTGCACGCACGTGACAGAATGACAGAACTCCCGAACGACGCACCGCAGCAGGAAGAAGACCTATGGCTCATCCTACTGCATGAGGTGGCGTACTGGCGAGAGCAGCCGGAGATCCGAGAGGGATACCTGAACTGCCCGGGGTACCTGAACTGCCCAGCGAGGCTCTGGCCGCAGCCCTGCCTGCTGGCGCCGCTGTGTCGGTGCTGCCCTCTGAGGTGCCCCCTGCTGGCGGCGCACGCCCGCGGCACCACCTGCTGCCGCCCGCGGCCACGCCCGCGGCACCGTCTGCACTGTTTGCAGTCACGGCACTGGAGGCCCTGACTCCAGTCCCCCAGCTTAGGTCATAGTCCCTGAGGAGGTCCCGGACAGCCTGACTGCCGCTCCCACCTCCATAGAGGAGGAGCTCGTACTGTATGGGACCCCTCAGGGACCTTCCTTATGACTTCTCCTCCCGCGCCTCGACGTGGACGATCCCGACCAAGACCCCGCCTATCTGTGTCCCGCAAGGGGAGGGGACATAAACGTCGGGCCGGGGTCTCGCCCGCCCTGCCCCCTGGCTCGCCCTCGCTCGCTTTGGCGGGGGCTCGGGGCGCGCCTGCGGTTTCTCCTGCTCCGGGCCGGCGGTCGCCTGTGGATCCCCCTCCGCAGCCTTGTCCCCCGGCCTCGGTCCCGCCTCCGACTCCGCGTCGGTCGCCTGCGGGTCCCCCTGCGCCGGCGTGTCGGCGGACGGCGCCTTCGCCCGCTGTGGCGGCACCTTTGCTGGCTGCGGCTTCCCCCTTCTCCTTCCCTTTGCTGTTGGCCCCTCCGACTTCCTCCTTGTCTCCTCCGTTTGTCCCTCGTCCTGTCTCCTTGTTCCCGTTGTGGTCCCCTCCTGCTCCCTCCTCCCAGTCGCCCGTCTGGGCTCCCTCGGGCTCCCCTTTGTCCTCCGTCCGTTCCTGTCTGGTCTCCCCTGTCTGCTCCTGGTCCCTTTGTCCCTCCTGTCTCTGCTCCTCGTCCCCCTGTCGTGCCTCCGTTCACTCCTGGTCCTTTTGTTCCTCCATTCTCTGTGCCCTCTGTCTCTCCCTTCCTGATCTGTTTGTCTGCGTTCCCTGTTCTGTGTCAGGTCCAGTCCTGGCTTTTGCCTGTGCTGTGTTTCCGTCTTGTTCCCGGTGTCCCGTTGATGGTTTTTTGCTCTTGTTTTCCAGGTCCTGTTTTCCCAGTCTCGCCTCCTCTGAGGCGCGCCCGGGGGGTGCGCCTTTGGGGGGGGGGTTCTGTCATGCCCGGCTAGACCGATCCTTGTGTGCCACGCCCCCCTCGTTACCTCGTGTTACTTCCTGATTGTGATCACCTGTTGCTTGTTCAGTTCAGCCTGTCTTGAGTATTTAGTCCGTGTTTCAGTCAGTATTCCCCAGTTCTGTCATTGTATTGTCATGTTTGATGTCCGATGTCTGCCCGGATCCCTTAATAAACCCCGTTTATGCATATTACCGGCTCTACTCGCCTGCTTCCCCGCTCGCCTGCCTGCACGCACGTGAAAATTTGCACGTTGAATGTAATTTTCAATTATATTTACTCACTGTTAAGAGTGTTTCATTAAGTTTTTCTTAATGTCACTCCATACAAAATAGAGTATAACTCAGTAAAATGTTGTACATGCAACATTTGTACCTAAAACAAATCTGACCTACCAAATTATTAAGCCTACCAGATATTTTTCCTAGTCTTCCATAGTTTACTGTCACTTGCACATTCTAGTAGGCATGGACAATTTAAGAGTTCATACTGCATTCATCTCATTCACGTAACTTTGACAGTTCGGTTTTTATTGATTTTTCACCCACTTTCATGATCTCAAAAAGAAACATAAATTGCTCCACAAATGGTCTGTTCCAAACTATTATTTAGATGCTCAAATGAGAGGAGCTAAAAGGTCTTTTCAGACAGACCTTGATTAGAACATGGGGATCTTCAGATGAAAGACCTGTATCCATCCATTATTTCCTAACTGCCTTCTGAAAACTGCATCAGACTAATTCACTGTCATCTTTGACCTTGTGGAAAAACATTCTGTTCTCAGCAAGTGTTTGTAACTTCAGTCCTGGGCACCTTTAACATAAAATGATGAAAAGCCAGTAAAAGTAAGAAATATAATGGAATTTCATCACATCTCCTGGCAGAGCACTTTGCTTTGTTGCGAGCATCCTTTTCCAAAGACGTCTCTATCACCCTCTCTTTCCTTATAACCTTTTAAGCAAAATGCAAGATGCAAATGTGCAGGGTGCGTCTCACCTCAGGCTCCACATGTACGCATACTTGTAGGGGAAGTAGCTTCCAGGCTCGCTGCAGCAGTACTTCATGTCCTCAAACCCACAGCAGTAGAGAAGCTCGGGTCTCTTGGGGTCAGCTGGGCAGGAGAAGCGCTCCACGAAGCCAGCATCCACGCTGTAGTATCCCTCGCAGATATTGTGAGGCTCGGCCATTGCAGTAGAGAGACGGGATGCGAGGGGTGTGAGGAGAAAGTAGCAGTGGACTGAAGCTTCATGTACCGGTAGGTGCTCTATGTTGACTAGAGAGGAGGGGTGCGGAGGGCTCTGTCATCAGGGAGGTGGGATCTGTTGGTTTCCAGAAAGGCACATCCTCCTGCTATTGGAGCATCTTCTTAGCAAGTCCTCCAAAAGTGCTCCTCTTAATAATGCTCTCCTCCAGTGTAATAACTAAATTATGTTATGATAAATGATGACTATGATGTCATCAGGGAGGTGGGATTTGCTGGTTTCTGTAAAGGTACGTCCCACTGCCGATGGAGCAACCTCTTAGCCAAGCCTCCAAAAGTGCTCCTCTTAATAACGCTTACTTCCAGTGTAATAATTAATTCACGTGTTCAATAAAAAAGGATGTTGTAGTGAACGATACAAAGTCACATGGTACAAAAAAGCATGTGGGCATTTCATGGATTACTCATGTGTCTGATGGGAGGAAAGCATCACTTTGGACTGAAAAAATACAGCATCCCCATTTTCTAACCACTTATCCTGGCCAGGGTTCTGGAAAGGATAGAGCCCATTCACCCACAGATGGGGTACACTCTGTGCGGACACACACTCTATGGGGAGTGGAGAGAGATAATCGCCAATCGACTGCATGTCTTAACACAGAAACAGGATAACAATATATGAGAATGGTGTGTAACTTAGTGGGTCGGGACACTGTTTGTGATCAGAAGGTCATTGGTTTAAATCTCATGATCAGCAGAGCAAAACCCTTAACTTCAACTGCTCCAGGGAAGAGCTAACCCTACCCTTTCAAAGGAGCATGTTGCTTTGTATAGAAACACCTGCTAAACGTAATAGCACTGCCACCTAGTTTACTGTACCCCCATTAAAATAAATGTTAGTTACAGCCTTAAAAAATAAAAATGCTTATTGAGTTTACATTTCATTTTGGAATCTAATAGTTTGCTTAGGAATCGTTCGCCCATACGTACGATTAAACCACTGTCAGGACAAGCAGGATACGCTCGTACTAATTAAAGTTTTTTTACACGGTGTGCAGGAAATGAACGAATCTTTTAGTAAAACAACTTGACTTCTACCACGCCTCGTTTCCACCAACGTGATGCCGAAACCGGTGCCGGATCTTTTTAGTAGGAGACTAGTGAACACCTATAATGCCTATTTGTACGTCCCTCCAAGACCGGCCAATAAAAACGCTGCGATTGTTGGCGACAACCAATGAAAATGCACGCCTTAACGCGGTTCCTGGCGTGTCTGAGCAGTACCGGTAGTAATCTGTGATTCACCCTGAAAAACAAGCATGGCGTCCAGCGCGGATCCTGATGAGCGCAAGAGAAAATCAGAAGTGAATGAGGAAAAAGGAGATGATGCTGCAGACGATGAGTGGATCGGACCCATGCCCAGCGAAGCTGTGCAGCCAAAGAAAAGAAAAGGCGAGCATTATTTACTGGTTCAGTATTATTACAAGTAATCCAACTAAACAGCTCGATAGCAAAGACGCGGAAAGAGCTTTCGTGGCAGAAAAAGATGCTCACACACAGACACAGTCGTTATGTAGGTGGTTAAAGTGTCTTTTTGCTTTGCGTTTCTGCAGTGCTTGAGTATGAACGTGTGTATCTGGACAACCTCCCGTCTGCCGCCATGTACGAGCGCAGCTACATGCACAGGGACGTGATCACGCACATCGCCTGCTCCAAGTAAGTGTAATGATTACACCACCGTTAATAAAGGGTTTACTGTTCTTTCTGTGATAACACATCGCCAACTCCAAGTAGGGGGCTACTGCATGAAGTACCATACTCTCACAGTTTATTGACATATCTGTGATGTGATCATACACATTGGCCTTTTGTGAGAATTAACCGTGTAGCGAATGTTTGCATCAGCAGATTTAGCTTGTGCTGTGAATCCAGTCTATTTAACTGTGAGTGCAATTATCATGCAGGACAGTAATGTGTTGTATAATCTGTGCCGTTCTAGATAATTGTATCGTACACCCAGTGTACTGCTGAATTATGGATGAGCTTGTTTTAGTTTGCACTGAACCTTGGAATCCACAGCCCCGTCCCGAAGATCTTGTACATTTCCGTTCTTGTACATTATTTCAGGGTTACCGATTACTAAGATTATGGGAGTCTATATTAAGACACCTCTGATGATGTAGAATAGTACAAAAGAATTGCTCACTCTGTAACTGTACATGGGTACTAATGAAAATGGTAACATGGTATTATTATTATCATCATCATCTCAAAGCTGTGTGGTCATGGTGGAAAGGAAGTGTGCCCATTTGTAGCTGTTGTTCATCCACAGGACTGAGTTTATATTAACTGCCAGTCAGGACGGCCACGTGAAGTTCTGGAAGAAGAAGGAGGATGAGGGAATAGAGTTTGTCAAACACTTCCGCAGCCATCTCGGTCTGTATATCCATTCCTGCCATTTTTCTGTACAGTACTTGAAACAACTTACATTAAGGTGCTTATGATAAATATTCCCTCCCATGGGTAAATTTGATATTTAAGCAGAGTGGGAGAAGTGTTTGAAGTATTAGAGATTTTAGCGAGGAGAATATTATCAGCATATATGTCTTCGGGTCTTTCGTAAGTTGGGCTGTTACACAGGACTTTTGAATTAGATGCCAAACTTCATTGTGTCAGTAATTGTACTTTGTGCAATGTAGGTGTAGTTGAATCTAAGATACTGAGTGAAAATAGTTTGGAGATGTGTTCTGTTAACAGTCCAAGAAACCGTTTTAGAGCGTGTTATTTTTTTTGCACTGTCAGTGTATTGAAAATGGTTATTACTGCACTGGTTCCCCTTTTTCATTTTGTATAAACTGATGGGTTTTCCTCGCTGTGTGTGTGTGTGTGTGTGTGTGTGTGAGTGTGATAAAGTTTTCAGATGTCCACAGCTATCTATCCCTGGTGTGAATATTGTGCTTTGTACAACAGGGCTGATTGAGTGCATCGCTGTTAGCGCTGAAGGGGCTCTCCTCTGCACCGTGGGGGACGACCAGGCCATGAAGGTCTTTGACGTTGTCAACTTTGACATGATCAACATGCTCAGGCTGGGGTAGGGTGTCGATTGACATTTTGAGTTTCCATATGTTAAAGGGGTGCAGTCTGTGGGGTCTTGATCATAGTCCTCTTTCTCTTCCAGCTTCCACCCTGGCCGGTGTGAGTGGATCTACAATCCGGGAGATGCTATATCTACAGTAGCCTGTTCAGAGAAATCTACGGGGAAGATCTGTGTCTATGACGGAAGGGGAGGCAATCAGCCGCTGCACACCTTCAACAAGATGCACTCCTCTCCACTGGCCCACATCCGGCTCAACGCCCGTTATCGGGTCATCGTCTCTGCTGACAAGGGTGGCATGTTGGAGTACTGGACTGGCCTTCCCAGCGAGTTCAAGTTTCCAAAACACGTGCAGTGGGAGTACAAGACGGACACGGACCTGTACGAGTTTGCCAAGTGCAAGACATACCCCACCAGCCTGGCCTTCTCGCCCGACGGCAAGAAGATGGCCACCATCGCAACCGACCGCAAGGTCCGGATCTTCCGCTTCCTGACCGGGAAGTTAATGCGAGTGTTTGATGAATCCTTGACCGTAAGTTCAAGCATGGCATTACGCATTAAACATTCATGCACAAAGGGGCCCTTGTCTTTGATTTCATTTGAAAATGTTTTTTCATTCTGTGGAATTCTTATATTGGAAGTTTTAACACTAGAATTGCTGGCAGTCAGACTAAGATTTACTGGAATTGTGGTACTTTGCACATTTTGTGTTTCTTTTTCTTTTAATTAAAAAAAGGGCAGAATTATGAAATGGGCTCTAATTGAAACGTTGAACAAGTTGTGTGTGTTTTAGTTTCATTTTCGGTAATTTGTAGGAAGTTAGAGATTCTGATAACTGGCACATGATGTATTGTGAACAAAGGAGGCAGAGTCTTATTGACCATGACACTGTCACTATAGATAAATAGGCTTTTGATGCACCTCTGATGTGGTGTGCATTGAGGAATCGTTGAGTGACCCTGGAAGAAAACCTAGCAAGTGTTTTGATTTTATTTAACGGCTATGGTCATGAACATGCCAGATGCATCACAATACATTTATATCAGTTCTCGGAGGGGAAAAAACTGATATGGAGATATGTGAACAATTAGTGTGAAAATGAAATGTTTATTAAAGGGCATTTAAAATCTTAAATACTTTGGACATGCGATGAAGTAGCATATACAACCTTTGATTTTAGACTCTTGCTGCATTAAATGTAGTCAGAAAAGGGTTATATGGGTCCACACAAATAGAGATGTACGTTTCAGTAGGTGACCGCTAGTTTAGCATTGATATGTTACGTTATTTCTTCAATTAAGTGACAGGTTTGTCTGATTGTCTATGGCTGAATATTCCTTTTTCCTGCTCTGAATTCCCAACTTTCTGCCCCGCTCTTGCAGATGTTTACAGAGCTGCAACAGATGAGACAGCAGCTTCCCGACATGGAGTTCGGACGCCGGATGGCTGTGGAGAGGGAGCTGGAGAAGGTGGACGCAATCCGCCTGACCAACATCATCTTTGACGAGACTGGACATTTCGTCCTCTACGGTACTATGCTGGGCATCAAAGTCATCAACGTGGAGACCAACAGGTACCGGCCCATTTGATTCCTGTTTTAAAATCTTTTTAAGCGTCATGTAAGGATGGTTTCTGAAAATACTTTATTATGGACCATACTGGAATTTTGCACCTTCTTGGGCAATTTTCCACCACAACAGGTACCGTACTTTTGGTACTTCAAGAAAGTACAGTACTTTAAGGCAGGGGTGTCAAACTCACTCGCACAGGGGGCCAAAACTCAAAGCACACTTTAGGTCCTGGGCCGAACAGGATAAACATTTATTGAACAGACTAAAACTAAATGTTTTTTGAACATAAATATGACTCGAAACACACAGGACACAATATTAAAATAATTAATTTTGCTATCCATAAAAATATCTCCTCTTAAAATTATCCAAATTCAAAATATGATTATGCTGCAAAAAAAACTGAAAATATAAGTAAAAATTTAAATTAAATTTTGCTTTTAAGTGAAAGTTAAAATGGTAACAAATCAAAACATTCAATTTTCTTTGCTCTTATGCCATTTTGTCAGAGCTGGATGCTTGGCATCTTTTCTTGGCAACAAGTTTGTTTATGTTTGGAGTAAGGTTCTGTGTTGTGGAGATTCTCTCTCAACCACAAAATGCATTATGGGATTTGTAGTTTGTGTGTTATCGGCGCTTCATATTGCTGGGCCATTTAAAAAATAAAATAAAATAAAATAATATATATATATATATATATATATATATATATGGTGTTTGTTTTCCATTGGTCTATAAAGTGATACGGGCCCTGAATGATGTTGTAACACGAGGCGGGGTATTTTGTACCGAATATTATATTAATCCCAACATTGCACGTTATGCATATGCAATTCTTACATAGCTAGTCAGCTAGATTACGATCAGGCTTTTTCTTACCATCAATTCTGTATGGACATGATGGCCCAGAGAGTTTGTTTCGCTACAGTGTTTTCACACACTCATAGGGGAAAATAAACTTGGCAAGTTTTGCAATTTTATGATTATTCCTTTTCAAGATTTTAGTATATGCTTAAAAGAAACAGTTTAAAGATTACTTCCACTGCTTTTGCATGAGTGCTGCATGCACTCTCCAAGACAATTATAATTATTTTCATCCTTGCTTTTTAAATCATGCCTAGATGATTTGTGAGAAATTTGTGAGAAATTCTTTCATTTTATAAATATCCCAATATTTATTACAAGATATTTGAAAATGTTCCAATACTGTGCTGTTCAAGTATATTAAACAACATACTTTTTTCTCGTCATGCCATCCAGTTCTTGCTGTATGTTGTTCCAGCCAGATTGCAATTTAAGCTTGAGTCTCTCCGCTTGTTCTCGCATCTATAATAACTTTTATTTTTTTTACTTTGTCTATTGTTTTCTGAGGTTGCCACTTTTTTTACGTCTGCAGTTGTATTGCGTTTCAGAGACTAGGCTGTTTGCATAACCAATCGAAAAGAAAACTTCGACAAAGTTGCACCCCAAAGTACCAGAAAAGTACCCCAGTTGGTTTGGCACTTTTGGTACTGGCACTCAACTGGAAGTCAACACAAAAGAGAAAGTACTGTAGTGGAAAAGCACCTTTTTTTGTGCTAGTTTCCAGTTCCTTCTTTACAGCCATATTGCAGTTTTGGTTCGTAGAGTTGAATTGTTGTGAAACAAGGTTTTTAGATGTTTGTCTTGAGGATGACAGGAGAAGCTACAATGGCTGATGACTCATCTCCATCCAGGTGTGTCCGGATCCTGGGGAAGCAGGAGAACATCCGCGTGGTGCAGCTTAGCCTGTTTCAGGGCATCGCTAAGGTCACTAAGACAGCGCCTACCATCGAGATGAAAGCCTCTGACAACCCGGCCTTGCAGTGCTCTGAGCCAGACCCCACCATCTTCTGTACAGCCTTCAAGAAGAACCGCTTCTACTTGGTGAGGAGATTTTACAGAAATTAACCAGCTAGATGCCACAAGAAGTGTGCCAAGGCTTGACTGGACTTTTGTGCTTATCGGTAGAGTGATTTCATATGTACATTTTTCATACAAGGTTACGGTGTAGTAAACCGTGCCTTCTTGTTTTTGTGTGACACAGTTCACTAAGAGGGAACCAGAAGATACCAAGAGTGCCGATTCGGACAGGGACATCTTCAACGAAAAGCCATCCAAGGAGGAGGTCATGGCTGCCACACAGGCCGAGGGCCCCAAGAGAGTGTCGGACAGCGCCATCATCCACACCACCATGGGGGACGTTCACCTGAAACTCTTCCCTGTGGAGTATGTAGCCTATGCCAAGCTTGCATGATTGAACCACAGTGCTTGCTTGAAAATTTTGTTCAAACATAATCTATTGTTTTCTGCTTAAATTCAGTTACCGCTTTCTGTCTTTGCCAGGTGTCCAAAGACGGTGGAAAACTTCTGTGTCCACAGCAGAAATGGTTATTACAATGGTCACATATTCCATCGTGTCATCAAGGTATGTTGAGGGTGCTTGTTATCCCTGCCAGCCTGAAGTCATGTTAACCACGAATTTCAACTCACACACGGAACCCATGTTCTGCAGGGGTTCATGATCCAGACTGGAGACCCCACCGGCACAGGAATGGGAGGGGAGAGCATCTGGGGTGGAGAGTTTGAGGATGAGTTTCATGCAACGTTGAGGCACGATCGTCCGTACACCCTTAGCATGGCCAATGGTGGACCCGGCACCAACGGTTCCCAGTTCTTCATCACTGTCGTCCCAACCGTAAGCCCTTTCTGCCGCTATATCCAAGAACCACAGTCCACAAATCCTGCTGTTTTCACATCAGGATGATGGCAAAAATTAACCAACACCCCTCCTCCTTCTTTGGTACAGCCCTGGCTGGACAACAAGCACACGGTGTTTGGAAGGACCACGAAAGGAATGGAGGTTGTTCAGAGGATCTCTAATGTCAAAGTCAACCCAAAAACAGACAAGCCGTATGAGGACGTCAGTATCATTAATATCACCATCAAATAATTATAGTGGTGTTCGGGGTGCTTGCATTTTTTTTTTAATAAAATGATAGTTTTACACAGAGTAATGACGAAATTTTACATTTTAAATACATTATGTCACCCATATGTTGTTATTAATCTACATTCACTGAAAATACAAAAGGTCAAGGTGATGTTGGATGGTAATTGTGACAGTATGATTTTCATGAATTATCTATTTAATAGCATAACATGGTGTACAAAAGCATCATGAAGGTCACACATTACAAATGTCTGGGTATGCACTGTGCTTTCACATGTTAAGATTCTGCTTATGCCAGAAATGTAACATTTCCCACAACCCAACATCACAGAATGACTGAGAAAACAACCCATAAATTCACGTTCTATAAATAGGTACAAGCAGTTAACATTATTTAGCATTGAGGTTGACTGAACAGTAGAACGAAAACCAACTTTTCAAATGTTTTTTTGAAACAGGATATTTTTTTACTCCTATGTACTGTAAGCTCGTAACATGCAGTATAGCAAAGGAAAGTTCCTACTTCCGTCACCTACCTAAACAAAACTCACACAAACCCTAGTCCGTTTCTAGCACCACAGCAGTTTATACAGCAGTTGGTCACATTTCTGCAGGATAGCCAACGGCCCGGGGCCGTAACTCCCACAATCCACAGCGTGGCAGTCATTTGTCCATTTGGCTTGAAAGTTTTCTAAGACGCATCCTTAATCCAGCCTCTACCACAACTTAACATGCTCCTCAAAACAGGAGGCGGGGAGACAAACATATTGCTCACGACTCATCTAGCACAACTACACGGTTCTGAAGCTGTGTCAAGGATTTCCCACGAACTTATATACAAGCACATATTTGGAGAGAGAAGGTTGTTCGATTAGGTGCTGAGTAAGCCCCAGGGAAAATGATGTGGGCTCGATCAAGAAGCAGAGCTTCGTCGAGCTTCGCAATCCTGTGGTCCTTCAGAAATTGGTCTAAACTACGGCAAGGACAGTGGACCAAACAGTGCAGAGACCAACACGCCCCTGGTGGTCAGTCATGTCCTTCTCTAGCTGTAAATAGAGATTCAGCTGAATTACCTGCACAAGAGGAGGGACGCAATCCTAAAATCTGATCAAGTGACCACTGTTGGATGCCTTATAACGCGGTACATCAAGTCTACAGAAGGAGGAATTTACATGTTTTATTCTGTCACAATTGACTTGTCTAATGCTGTTTGTCCCGGCCTGTTCAGGAGTGATGGGGACCGAACAGCATGAGCTATTTCACCAAACAACAGCTCAAGTTAAATGCTACAACCAGAAAATACTCCAGAAGTGGATATGTA